CTGGAAAAATATAAGTTATTATGAAAATCTCAATTCGCGGATTATTGAGTTGTAATTTTCACCTATTACTCGCATTATTGTGAATTCTTTGTAATCTTAGTACAAAAAATAATTAATAAAGTTTGCAATTCTTTTGCCATAAATATGATTTTGTTTTTCACCTATTCATACCAAAGTTTAAGCCACCTACATTAAATTTTTATTTGAGAATGTAGACGAGTCTAATCAAATTGTTTGATTACATTTGTACGATTTTGTTGTACTCTCTAAAATTGTGTAAAAGGTTGAAAGTGAGATGTGCATAAAGAGTGAATGACTCCAGAATCAAATTATCGACTTTTCTTCTTCGGCCCAGAACTTTGCCCAGCATTTTGGATCGGCTGTGCATCTAAACACTTTTTCAATGTGGGATCGCCAAACATTACATTGAGCTCTGTTTTAAAGCGAGAAAACTGGGCCCCCTGGAATTTCACTCTCATGTCCACGAGACTAACAGAGGCCTGCTAGCCGGAATTACTCAAGGTTTTGTAAGAAATGATTTGCAAATTGCAGGTGAAGAATCTGTTCATCATTCTGGGCTCCAACTTTGTGCGGAACACAATCCCTTCTGCAGATTCATGTCTGATTCCCTTCTTAAAATGTTCATGCGACCAGGGTTCCAATTTTGTGGGATTTTAATCCCTTTTTATGTGATTCCTGTAGACGAAGACAAGCAAAGCACTGCCAATTGCCAACTTTCCTTGCTCTGGTGTTGCATGTAGAAGAGATAAGTCCGGTTAGTGGGATATTATAGGATTAGAAGAATCACTCTGCAAATCACGAAAATTGTATTTATTTCACTGTATCTGGGCAATAGGTCTCAGTCCAAGTCAAGAATGTTATGGTTTGTATCTCTAACTAGAGATGAGCCTTATCATTGCGCTTAATAGAAGAAAGAGAATCAAGCTGGTGCCGAAAGAAGAAGGCCAAAACTTGAAAGATTGTTTTATCCCACTAGATGTAATAATTTGTTCTTTAGTCAAGGGCCTCAAGGCGATATTACTATAGGGCAGCTTAATATTTCCCAGAAAAGATTTGCAGGGTGAAATATTCTAATGATTGTACAATTGCATGGCCGATCTTTTTCTATTCCCCTCTGAGAAAAGGTCTCATTCAGAGCCAAGGCGAAAAAAAAAAAGAAAAAGGCAAGGGGTTGGTCCTACCCCATACTTTTTTTTAGTACAATATTTTTACAACAACAGAGTCAAAAGAAAAAAAAAAAAGGCCAGGGGTTGGTCCTGCCCCACACTTCTTTCTAGTACAATATTTTTACAACAACTAGTCTCATACGTAAGGGATGGAGATGGAGATGGAGATGGAGATGGAGATGGACCCAACTAAACTATACAAAAATTCGGAAAGAACTAAATTATCTGAAAAAATGTTTCAAAAAATCTTGAATTAGAAATGTAGATAAGGGGTTTCGAACCCTTACCTACACCCATGGACGAAAAATGCCCCCCACACTTAAGTGCCCTAAACTTTCCTAAAGCAAATACTTTGTTCAATTCTTACGATGCTTCTACTACCAAATGTGTATCAAAAAGAAAGGTTGAAAATGACCAAGCCAGCCAAAAGGATAAAAAAAAGAAAAGAAAAATGATAATGATAATTGAGTGAAGTCTCCATTGTTTACATTGAGAATAGATAAATGATAATTTGTTTTATATTTTGTGATCTATTGTGGTAACTGGCAAGCTCCTGCTTTCTAACCAATGGCACAAAGATATTGTTCTCATCGTTTTCCCATATGCTTTTCCTTTGCTATGTTCGGCAATTTGTCCCAGGTGTTGTGCTGCATTCGAAAATTAGAGCATGTAAAATGCTATATTTATAGTTGGACTCAATCAATGTGTTTTACTTCCTGGACTATGCATAACAAATGCTTTAAAATACTCTAAAATGACAAATTCCTCATAAAACAAGGTAGAACTAGTGCACATATATATTCAAGCCATTTGCCTTCTGCATATTTTGCAAGTCCTTTTTTATTGCTCTTTCTACGCTTGGACATTATAAAATCAATTAGTTTTCTTTACCTAGTCTCCTCGTTGCTCTTTTTTTTCAACTTTTATGTATTAATGAAACCACCGGTCCCAATTCATCATCTTCATATTAGTTTGTTGGTTTAACACATGCAACGCTTCAAATTTCAAGAATCTTCAACTGAACATTTGTTGAATACTATCTGCTCTAAAGCCTTGAACAAAATGAAATCTCTCAGTCAACATGCATTACTTGTTTATCTCCTAGTACTTTCTTGTACAATAGTCTCTTCAATTGCTCGGGGTCCAGCTGGTAATTGTATTATAGGCATACAAAATTCCTCACCTGGGAGGAATTCAAATTGTAGAAACGGAAGCTGGGATGGATTTTTAACCAACAATTGCTGTGAAATCCCGTTTAAGGGATACTTGTATGGATTGGCACAGCGGGCAAATCAAAGTGGACAAATCTTTCTCAACTCCACTGAGCAAAATGACTGCTTGTCATCAATGAAGAATAGTGATCCAGATGCTTTTGACTGTGGCATTCAGAAGCTAACAAATGGACTTGGGGGCTGCTCTGATTATTCTGTAACTGATGTTGATACAAAGCTTGGAAACAGATTAAACAGCTTGCGCGAGAGCTGCAAGCTGGTGGGTTCAGATCAGTATTGCAACCAGTGTTCAATGAGTTGGAGAGGGATGAATACATCATCCAACAGCAGCAATGAGATGAGGGATTCTCAACCTGACAATTGCAGATTTGCGGTCCTGATTTCTCTGATTAGCCAAAGAATTAATGATGATCAATGGTTCCAGGCAATATCTAACTGTCTTGAAGATGGGAGCCCGAATATAGGTATTAAAGTTGCCAAATTCACCAGTAATCGCAGACTGTTTAATCTTCTTTACCCAGTCTTGTTGCTTATATAATTTTGCATACATTTTTATCACTGACAAGATACAACGTTGCCAGCATATGATTTAAATGATCAAGCAAGTCACGGTCGAAAGAAAAGAAAGTTGAAAACAGGTAATTCTAAATTTGGGATCAACTTCAATCATTGATGCATTTACAGAAATCATGCGTTGTTTCTAAACTTCTGCTGGTTGCAGATTTTTGGATTCTAATTGGTGGGGTAGTGGGGATTGCAGCCATTGTCACTATTGCATGTTTTGTTTTGTTGAGGAAAAATACGAAAGGATCTCCCCAAGGAAATGAAGGTACTCCCTTTGAACAACTTTGGTGACATTACTTTGTATAGATTAGAGCTGTGAATAATTCCTTGTCTCCATTTGACAGTTTCGGATAATTCACTCGATGGAGAGTCCAGCTGCGTAACTATTTCAATAAAAGAGGTTTATTCTGCCACCAATAATCTCAGTGACTTAAACTTAATTGGCCAAGGCATAGCTGGTGAGTAAAATGCTACTTCTAAGTGATGCATAAATGGAAAAACTAAAAGACTTGATCCACATTGCAAACATAGCTGTTTCTTGATTCCTTTAAGGCATACAATGTCAGATAGAAGGCATAGTGGATTCTTCTGTATAGCTGCAAGTTAATAGCAGTTGATAATGAGTTTGCAATTTTACCAGGAAAGGTGTATAAAGGCATTCTATCAGATGGTCAGCGCATCGCTGTCAAGCATATAATCAACGATGGGCACATGGATACATTTGTTAGGGAGGTTAAAAGCCTCTCCCACATCAAACATCCAAACCTGGTTGCCTTGATAGGTCACTGTGATGGAGATGATGAGTGTTTCCTAGTGTATGAGCTATGTCACAATGGAAATCTTTCACAATGGCTATTCGGTATGTGAATTTCAACTTGCAGTATTTTTTATGGGAAGTAAAGGCCTTCACTGAATCTATTCTTCTCCTCTGCGTATTGTGGTAAACAGGAAAAGAAAAAACTTTATCTTGGATCCAAAGGTTAAATATTGCAATAGATTGTGGTAGGGGCCTTGGCTTTCTCCACACATATCCAGGAGGTTGTATTGTTCACCGTGATATTAAGGTAACTTTTAACTCTACATTCGCTAGGTATTGTCCTCTATATTCCAAAACCGTTTTCACTTATCCACTGTAATCGCTTGCAGCCAACAAATATTCTCATCTGTGCTAACTTTCAAGCAAAACTGTCAGACTTTGGGTTATCTAAGGTTATGAGCATGGGCCAATCGTTTGTAAGCTCGGAAGTAAGGGGAACATTTGGTTATGTAGATCCTGAGTACCGAAAAAATCGCCATGTTAATTCCTCAGGCGATGTCTACAGTTTTGGGATAGTACTGCTACAACTTCTATCAGGACAAAGAGTTATTAACATGGACCTGCAGAAGCCTGTGCATCTGAACAAAGTGGTACGAGATAAAATGCAGTCATTTTTCATACTTAAATGTCTGCATAATTTCGTTGGCTTTATGTTTATATTTCTAATATGTCTGTCAATTGCCAGGCCAAAAGCGTCACAAGAGGTGGGAATATGACGGAGTTTGCTGATTCCAAACTTTATGGGGATTACTCATTTGAAGCTTTTGAGCTCGTATTTAAGCTAGCTTTGTCATGCACAGGGCTCAAGCAGCAGAGGCCAAGAATGCAACAAGTGGTTGGAAGACTGGAGGAAGCCCTTGACATCTCAATGAGAGCCAATTCAGTTAGACCAACATTTTACAACTAATGTCTGGAAATGATTGAAACCCAGTATCTATACAGACTTTCTCAGGCATGACTTCTCATAAAAATATGTGCAGGTCCACTAATATCGATGGAAATATGAGCATGGACAAGCTTTGATGAGATTCAGCTTGACTCGAAATTGTATACTTCAAGATTCCGATGAATATGATGAATAAGCAAGAAGGACCTAGGAGTTAGCTAGAAAGGAAAACACAGCTACCACAAACAAGAGGATTTGTTTTACTTGACAAATGACAATCAATTTCAGGACAGGCAAAATATTGAGATACAAAATACTGCAAATACATTTGTAAATGTTATTAGAAAGGGAAAGTATTCTTTGTACAAATTGTGTATAATATCCAGCTTCACTTAAAAAACCGAAGCTTTCTGTGACAAGCTCTTGAAAAAACCGAGCTAACGTCACTATTCAATCTGACCAACAATAACACAAGGAACTATGTACCAAGTGCTGTTTACAAGATAAGAGGCTTGAAAAGAATGCAACATTGAATATGTTGCGTAGATTACCAAACGTGAATGAACCTTTCCTGTGGAAGAACTGGATTTGAGAAGCCAAATGTGCTCTTTTCGTTGAAATTGTGTAGGATTTTGATGAGTGAACTGGCCTTCTTGCTGGCACGAGTTGTGCCTTCAGTGAGTTGGGAATATAACGCTCCCATAAGAGATGGGTTCTTCACTAAAACAATAACCGCATCTGCTCCGCCATGGGTGCAAAAGGAGAGGAGCAAGGAGACGCAATATTCTCTTGCAGCCATTGAAGAGGAAGAACCAAGAACCTCCACAATCATTGGTAAAGCTCCAGAAGACAGGATGGAAGTAGTTCCATCAGGATTATCAGCAAGATTTGCTAAAACTGCTAGAGAATCTGTTACAAGATCTTCTCTTTCACAAGAACTGATCAGATCAACCAGCAATGGGACTAATCCAGCAGCAAACACTCTCCTGTGGTTCTCAGGACATAGAAGGAGGCCGAATATCGTGACAAGTGCATTCTTCTTGCCACGATCTGTCCCATCCCTGACGAGCTCCACCAGAGAAGGAATTGCATCTGGAATCTCCCCAATTAGTTGCCGGTATTCTTCAGCTGAAGCAAGGTAAAAGAATGCACCAGCTGCATGCTGTCGAGCTTCCACTTTCAGTCCGCACTTCAAAACATCAAGTATCAAAATCAAACCTCCATTCTCAACAATTATTTTCCTGCTTTTCGAAAACTTTGAAAGATTTAACAGAGATGCCATGGCATTCTCTTGCAGCGATGGATCACATGAAAACAGAAGATTCAACAGAGGCGGGATTGTACCAGCTTCAACCAAACAAGACCGATTAAAAATGCTTGTTTTGGTGAGCAAACGAATCTCATAAGCAGCTCTGTTCTGCTCTTGATTATTGCAACCCACAAGCCTGCCAACGAGAAAATTAGCGAGCAATCGCACGGCCTGCTCAGATACTTTGCTACCCGCAACAACTGCCTTTGTAACATCACGACTACGCCCAACTGAATCAGCAAAGTGGATGCCTTTTTCTGAGCAAAATCCCTTGATAAGCTGCTTCAGAGCTGCATTGGGCACAAAATCTGTGCAGAGAAGCCTCTGGCCTGTCTTGGGACAGGTGCGGTTTCCAGCTCTGAACCATTTCAGAATTGAAGATCGCTCATACGTGTGACCTGTAGCTATTGTAACTGGATCAGACATGAGTTCCAACGTAATTGGACATCGAAAATCATCAGCATTCAAGCATCTGACGGTATCACAACTACCAAGATTATCAGTTCGCTTACTTGTCACCTTATCCACATATTCGAACAGTATCGACCGGCAGTAGATCATGAACCCCATTAGGCTGTTGAGAAGTCTAATGTTACTCTTCTTTTCAGACTGCGATTCTAACCCAATCTCATCCTCCAAGAACTTTACCTCTCTGTTGCATTCACTCCAACTTCCAATCCCAAGATACTCCAGAACCTTTCTTACATCACTTGGTTTTGGATCAATTCCACCCCCAAAATGATCCAATATCCAAAACACCTTCCTCAGGAATCTCTGATCATCAACTTCTGTTTCAAACTTCAGTGCCAAAGCCTGATCTTTTACAAACTCAACTAAGCCATTAACTTCGTCACCAAGTTCCATTTCCTCCAAAGGCAGAACATCCAAGGCCACTCCCATAGCTCTGATCAGAACCCGGAATTCATCTGCAGTAATCTGCGACTGCGCCAGCATCCACAGCCTAGCGTCATCTCTTGTACAGTCTTCCAACAGGTACTGAACTTTTTGCAAGATGAAGTGGAGCTCAGACAAGCTCAGAGTAGCAGAATTAGTGACGCATGTCGAAATCCCTAATGGGATTTCTTCAAGAAAAATGAGGAGATTTTCGACAAAACGTATTGCATTTCTCGCATTTTTTATATTAACGAAAAAAGTCTTCGACTTGTATTCACAAATGGTACGGCCTAAATTGATCAGGGAAGTAAGAAGGCTAGAGAAAGATACAAATTCACAAGGACGGATTGCCGGAAAATTCAATATCCGGCGAGTGAATACATCAGAATTATATGTCATTGAAGTGCACAGCTTAAGATCAGGACGGTAGCAAATTTTCTACTACTATTTTGTTTTTGGGAAAGAAAATCTGATAAAATTCCGACCTGTACAAACTACAAAGGAAGGAAAGCAAGGAGAAGAGCTTCTATGTTTGACTTTGGGAAGTTTATGACTTTTTCGGTTGGGGGATGGATTTGGTGTATGGCTGATACTCTTATATACAGTAATACATTGGGTGGTCATTCTTTGAGGTTGCAATGGGACACGTGTTGAACTCTTATCGGTTGATGAGGATCTAACGCGGAAATACAACCGACAACGTGGCTTAGAGTGATGGGTTTGACATGGAGATGGGACGAGGAGGCTTCGGAGGATGTTCTTCTGCCAATGAGAGGATGCCATGTAATGGGGAAAAAAAACTCTTTTTTGTGGGCAAGAAAATAACGAGATAAACTCGAGCTCGTGGGGCAGGACTGGAGGATACACGAAGGGACGGACGTGTAGCCGACATCTCATCATGCATATCGAGGCACCATTATTACCTAGGGATGGGAGTGTATGAACGTGGAATCTGGTGTATTTTAATGAATGTTTTCATTTGATAATTTCAAAAAAAAATAAATAAATAAAAGAACTTGAATTTCTATTGTTGTGATAAGAAACTATACATTAGATAAGTTTTATCACAAATGCAAAAGAAAATGGCATACTATAATAAACTTGAATATGTTCCCCATGACGTCATTAGCTAGGAATGAAGTCCATAATTTGCATAATTCGGTTACTATTGTGTTATAATTGGAATTGTATAATGGTGTTGAAGGAAAAATATCATCATCATCATAGACTACATACAGCCTGGAGCTTGTGACAAGAATCACACCACAGCTGTTTTTGGAGAGCACCTCAATTGAATGCAATGTAATTATGAGTTTTCTTAATTTCGCATAAGATGCAGGTTTGCTTAATTTCTGATGTAGATAAAACTTTAGAGTAGTTTCTTTATGTATGATGATGGATGGATAGAGAACTAATAGATTCCTTGGGAAAATAAATTGGTAAAAATTCCGATCCACGGCCACTGGCATAAAGCGTAACTTTGAATTGGAAAATAGGCTAATGAAAAAAAGATGGACATTCTAAGATGACTTGTAATATTTTATTACTCTTTGAGATAGAGGTCGCAATTGTACGTATTACATTAAATTTTTTGACAGTGGGGTCGTCTGAATTTGGCATCGGATACCTTCACCAGGAAGGTCTGCTCTCGCATATTATTCATCACCAATGTCAACAACTTTTTAGTTGTAAAGTTTTCACCTAAGAGTACCTCAATTAAGTGGCAGTATACAGTTTGGCTGAATCTTGGTGACAGAGTGTTTGGATAGAGTATTACTTGGAATAAGTACGGTAACACATTTTATGATGTGATGTATGCGAGATAAAAAAAATTAATTAAAAATATTAAAAAAAATAGATTGAAAAATATGTCTATGATACAAGTCAAAAATTATTTGACAAAATAGCAGGTAGTGTCACAAATCTATACATGAATTTGAGCTACTTTCATTAGCTGGGAATGGATGCTGTTGCATAAACTTTGACAAAGATCAAATCCTAACTTGCAATGGGGTCGGAAGGGGAAGTGGATTCGTGCTGTAAAAAAATGGAATCCAAAAGGCTCGCCTTTGCTGCCTCGCTGTGTAGGTGTATTCTTGGGATAAAGCTCTATACAGTCTTAGAGAATTAATTTGACAGAAAGATTGAAATATCCATAAGTGAAAAAAATAATAAAAAAGATACAAAGACTTGAGGGCTATGACGAATAAAATCCATTGAAACACACAAAAAAATAAAAACAATAAAGGTATCATTCTTAAGGCAGTCAAAAATAACTTTCATGTTTAAACACAGCTCCACCTGAAAAGCAAAGCACAACTAGAGTTTACTACTACCATTTACGACATCACCACCACATTAATCTCTCCATTTACTACTAATCCACAATCTCACGATGAGCAGATTCGAAGTTTTGTCATATTTTAGCATTTGTGGTGAGTAAATCATCAAAGATACGCCATACTACTGTTTCCTCATAGTTACTCAAAAGGAGTAAATCCTAGTTATTTTCTTAGTATCAGCATTAATAAATTGCCAATTCAATGCACTAAGAAGTCATCAATACATGTGAACAAAGTGCATTGCCTTGCTCTAAGCCTCTAAGAGAAGAAAAAGGGTCAATGTTATGTGACTCATTAGCAGTATTAATAAGTAGAACTATATATAATTTTGCATTGAACAGATATAATGGATGGAGAATCCCGTCTGCAGTTGCTTTGCCTTGGTAAATTGAAAGTACCATAATGGAGCTCTAGAAGTTTTCCTCCGTATATGGTCCAATAATTAGCAGGCTTCTTCCTCCAAAAAATTCCTTTTCAAATTGTCATATTCTCCAGTATGGTTGTAACCTGTAAGAATCTGGGAGGATGATCTCGCAAAACTTTGAGAAACGCGTCCAAGAATAAATGAAGAAAGCGGTGCCAACTCCCATGTACATGTTGGGGGTGTAAAAAGAAACGGGAAGCAATACTAGAGCTTTTTAAGATCCTAACTCCTAATTATGCTTATGGATTCATTATTGCTATTGCTTCCATACTATAGTATAGATTCAATAATTTAGGCAGCCGACTAGCTAGCTACAATGGCTGCTTAATTATTAACGTCTAATCTCCAGATAATGGAGACGACCCCAATTTTCCGGGGCTTTTGCTCTTCTGGCACTTGTTAACGGAATTGCCACAAAACTCTAGGGTCCAAGAATGTCATTAATGCACGATTGATTGGTACCTATATGTCTCTTTAGCTTCATGTCAAGCCAGTGCTTCCATCGAACTTAATTAACGTTGCAAATGCCTAATTATTGAGGACGCTTTCAGACCCTTGGGAATACTCTTCCGGGGCTTTTGATCATATGACCTTTTGGCTGTTCTAACCGTGGTTTCACGTCGGTTAGTTTTATCATTTAGCTGCTTTGTGTCAATCATGTACTGATGGATTAATTCGGCCCTTGTGAAAGCATTGTTCCTTTCTTGTTTTAGCCAAAAACTGACCAAAACTTTCCATCTAGTTATGATTTGATAACATCATAGCTTCACCATGTTACTTCCAATATTTTCTGTTTTTCTCAAATTGGCATCGAGTCTTGAGCAGTCGAAACCAACTCTTTCTAGGGAAAAATCATGACCCAAACACGCTATTATGCAAAAAAGACCAACGAATAAGGTCAGGTTAGGCATCATACTCACCATCAATTGAGATCAAATAGGACCACTTGCGATATGTTTGAGCTAATGATCTTACCAATTAACAGCTGTTTGAGAAGTGACGAATGCAGTTTTAGATGATGATGCAACAGTCATTTTCCGACTTTTTTACGCAGTTCTTGGTAGGTAATATCATATTGTTCCTTTGAGCAAACTATTAACGGAATTTAGGCAAAGAAAACCCTGTGCTGATGTATGATAATAGAACATTGACATATTTACGAAAGCAACAATTAGACTGCCGCCTCACAGCTCTGTACAGCCATGGACATTTATTGTTGCTGCTTTGTAACCTGGCCTCCACTCGATTGCTGACGGACCATAGAAGACTTTCCAAGCACGTCATATTCACCCCACATGAATTCCAAATCAGTGTCATCATGGCCCAAACATCACAGACAAAATGGGATTCTTGGTAGATACAGCCAGCTTGCAACAACTAAGCAGAGATTAAGGTTGTTTCGCGCCTTCCCGCGTAATAAATAGATGAATTTTGCGAAACTCTTAGTCCACAGCGAGAATCAAAGAATGGCTGGTCTGCACAAGAAATTTGCCTTCTTTGGATTGCTGAAACTTTGGATGCTGATACTAGTCTCATCGCGAGGTCCAGTCTATACACCTCCAAATGTTGAGCGGGTTACGGACCAATTTCGTCGGATTTCAGTTAGTCAAGGTTATAATGTGTTTTATGGGGGTTCAAATGTCCATCTTACGAACAACGGGACCAGTGCTGATCTTATTTTGGACAAATCCTCAGGTAACGGAACATGGAGATTGGAATTTATCGGTTTTTAGTAACAATGGTCCCCATAAAAACATTTTGTCATGATTTTTGCCTTCGCGTTTCTCATTTCTCGCTTCTTCCAAGTACAGGGTCTGGTTTAGTATCAAAAAACAGATACTACTATGGCTTCTTCAGTGCTGCAATGAAACTCCCTGCTGGCTTTACCTCTGGGATTGTAACAGCCTTCTATGTAAGAATCCCCTACTCCCTGCTGGTTTTCTCCTTTTCTTCAAATTTGACGTTCAACACTTCAATTTGCTGTCAAACAAGAAGCGCTCAACAGCTAAATTTGCCTTTTCTCGTTCATATCCTAGTTGTGAATGGTTTTTAGCCGGCAAACTTGACAGCTCGACTTCCTGAACGAGAATAAGTAAATGTGGATAGTGTCGCCGTTCTGTTGTCTGATACAAACATATTTTCCATGTTCAGCTGTCTAATCAAGACCTTTTCCCTCACAACCATGACGAAATTGATTTCGAATTGCTTGGCCATGAGAAGAGAAGACAATGGGTTCTGCAGACAAATTTATACGGCAATGGAAGTGTCGGCACAGGAAGGGAAGAGAAATTTTACCTCTGGTTTGATCCAACACAAGCTTTCCATGAGTACAGCATCCTCTGGAATAATCATCACATAGTGTAAGATGACCCCTTAACTTCTCTGCTTTTGCTTCTTTTTTTTTCATCAAATACATTTGTGCGGAACAGGACAGTAAGACAAGTAATAATAACCTAAAATGGTTGATGAATCGATGCTGCAGATTTCTTGTGGACAACGTTCCCGTGAGAGAAGTAATTCATAATGGGGCAATATCATCAGCCTATCCATCAAAACCAATGTCAGCTTATGTAACAATCTGGGATGGATCAAAATGGGCTACTCATGGAGGAAAATATCCTGTGAATTACAGCTATGCTCCGTTCGTGACATCGCTGCGAGGAATCGAGATGGAAGGCTGCATTCGTGAGAACTCAGCTGCATGCTCAAAGAGGAGCGTATCAAGCCTGGATCCTGTGGATGGACAAGAGTTTGCTAAATTGTCACAGCTACAAACGACAGGATTGGAATGGGCAAGAGGAAAGCATATGTTTTACTCCTATTGCCAAGATAAATCCAGATACAAAGTCCTACCACCAGAATGCACCACTGCCAAATAGCAGTCTTTGCATTTTTATTTATTTTCATAGTTCAGAGTAAAATTAAGGTGGCAAATGCAACCTTGGAAGAAGTGACAAGCTTAGGCCTAGATGTTGTATTCTTCGTTTGAAATTAATAATATTGTACAACATTTCTCTTCTCTTCTTTTTTGTGGTGGGGGTTGGGGAAGAGGAGGGGGGGGGGACAACATTCTTTATAACATTCATATGGCCATTGATTGAAGGTATTAAAAAAATGCATTTCTGAACAGCTCATAGGCTCAACCAACTCCCAATAAAGGAATTGGCTACCATCAAGCCTTTAAGGCTTGGTGGGATGGGAGACAAGAGTTCAAACCTTGCCTCCCACTAATTGTTACAGGTGTGGCTCTCTAAATCCAGACGGATGTGTAGTGCACTCGTTTGGTCCGATGGTGATGTAATCCTCGTCTGTCCAGACAAATACCGAGTATTGAAAAAAAAAAAAAAAAACCCCTTTATCTCCTTGTGCAGTGAGTCCTGAAGAAAGATTTCTAATGCTATGCTCACCTCCTCTTTTCCGTGTTCCCTTTTCTACTTGGGAAGGAAGGGAGAAAAGTCAGATACTCTTGATGGGCCATGGCATTCATTGGTTGTAACTAGGCCCAGAAATTGTTAAAAAGGTCAGGCGGTGGGCCATGGGATGGAAGTTGGTTCTGTATGTTATCTTGGACCTGATTGCCAGCTGTCATTTGAAATTTTCTTGACGCTTCGGTCCAGGGATTTAGTAGTTAAGTTAGGAGATGTCTTTCGGTCCAGAAGGTAGGCCACCAAACGCTTGCAAAAATAGACTATCCAACTGCTAGCTCTTTATTTTTCCCTTCTCGTCAAAGATTTCATGAGACTCTTGAAATGATAGGTTTAAGTCTGATTTGTAGTTACCTAAAATATAACCACCTGTAACTTTCATATTCATATATGGGATGAAAGTCTTAGTTCAAGTAGGAATACAAATGCGAAAGAAGAAAGAAAAGAAATGAACAATTCACATGTATCAAGATGCGTGAGTTACTGGGCCGACAAGATACGTGAGTCCAAAATTAACCCGTGAGAAACAAGAAACCTAAAAGAATAGTCCGCGCTTGACCGGCTAGTTGCCCAGATTCTTCTTGTTTTCTCATTTCTGGGGTCAATTCCGGCCGTCTAGTGGCCTCAGTCTAGTGACTGCCCCGACGGCCCAGAAAAATTCACTAACATCATAGTGACCTCATTCGGGCCCAATAATCTTGGACCCTTTCGGAGGTGACTGCCCCAACGTCTCAGAAAAATTCACTAACGTCAGAATTAGAGATGTAATTGAGTCGAGTTTGAGTATTGGCATACTCGAGTTTGACACGACTTACAAGAAGGATACTCGAGATCGAGCGAACAGTGTTATTGGAACTCAAGTTCGCGCCCAATGCATTGCTTATAGAACTTGAACTCCACTTGCATGGATTCGAGTCAAAACGAGTTTTATCGAATTCGAATAAAAAAGATTTGGAAATTTCATTTTTTTTGGTAATTTCTAAGCGAAAAAACATTTCAAAAAATTTCATACAATCTAAAACATTTCGTAAATTTAACTACTCTGGTGAGCACAAGAATAATTTCATAATAATAATATATTAAAAATTAAAATTAAAAAACTCGATAAGACTTGACGAGCTTTCGAGTCTTACTATTGGATACTTAATCTCGACTCGTTAGGATCTATTAAACGACTCGAACTCGATCAATACGAGTTCAAGTCGAGTTTTTGACCCAGGTGCTTGCATAGATTACAATCCTAGCCAGAACTCTTTGTCAAAAACGGGACCATTAAAAGATTTGAAAACGGAGTAAAACTTCAACTCAAACTTTCCGTCCAAGAGAAAGAACCAATAGTCAAATGTCTCAAGCGCTAATAGCAACCTAAGATACTATCATCATTATCAACCACATTGCACTTGCGCGCCAAGATTTGGATGGCCCCCGTTTATTTACTTTTTTTCTCCCCCCAAGAAACAGAAAACAAACGAGAAGGATTTCACAACCATGCTGGATTCTTCAATGGAGTAACGACAGCCTTCACTTGCAAGTAGTTCTTGAGACTGTATTCACCCTTTTCTCTTCCCTGCCCGCTCATCTTGTACCCACCAAAAGGAATTGCTGCATCAAATGTATCAAAGCAATTGATCCATACTGTCCCAGCTCTCAATGCTCGCATCAGTGTGTTGGCCGTGTCAAGATTCTGCGTAAAGACCCCCGCAGCCAGACCATATCGACTGCTATTTGCCCTCCTTGTCACTTCATCAAGATCCCTGCAAAAATGCATGTAGGAGAGATTAGAAATTTTATCTGCGGCTGTCTCGTATAACAGAATGAATGTCAAAAATTCTCCCTGAACATACTTATATTTCAGGATTGTTTGAACAGGACCAAAAATCTCTTCCTTAGCAATCAGCATGTCATCCTACACGTTGCAGCGAGCATCAATGTAATGACATACAGAAACTTCCAGTGGCAAATTTACAGGTTTCTCCACCGAAGAGACTTACCTGAACATTAGAGAAAACAGTAGGCTTAATGTAGTACCCCTTTTCACCCAGTCTGTCACCTCCAGTTTCAAGGGTAGCACCGCTATCGACTCCAGCTCTAATATATCTCAAAATTTTCTCAAACTGTTCTGAGTCAACCTGGCACATAAATGCTGAATTTATTTTTCAGTTGAAGACAAAGAAAAGAAGGAATTTTTTGCATTTTTATGCCATTAAGGAAAATAATTGCTGGTCTTTCTAATACAATATTTTGGCAGTTCTCTGTATCTCTGCTTTGCATGTATCTGAGGAAAGCAATTAAATGAACTATGTTGCACTCTTCCAAGAAATAGTTAAATTAGAGACAGCATATGTAATGATCAGTCTTTTGTTGGTGAATGTCCGTCACAGCAAATCAGAAGTTTACCTGAGGACCTTGTTCTATTTCTTGCCTGAATGGATCTCCAACACTGCGTTTCAATGCACGTGCAGTGGCTTTCTCCACAAATTCATCATAAACACGTTCATGAACATATGTGCGGGAGCCAGCACAGCAACATTGTCCCTGAGAATTAAGTAGAACATGCTTAGACTATCAGTAGAACTTATCTTCCACGACCTACCAGATTGAGGAGCAAGAAGTAGTAGATACCTGGTTAAAGAAAAGTGCAAAGTGGGCTAGCTCGACAGCATTGTCCACATCAGCATCCTCACAAACAATAAAAGGAGATTTGCCTCCAAGTTCCAAAGTCACTGGCTTAAGGTTGCTTCTAGCAGACAATTCAAGAATAATCTTTCCAGTTTCTGTTGATCCAGTGAAGGCAAGCTGAAAGTAGAGAGGAACCAAACTTACTAAAGTATAAAGAACAGTGATAAACGGGATTTGACCAAAGTTAGAACAATTGCACTCTTTATAATCCAAACAGTAGCCAAAGGCATTTAACACCCATGATATTAAGTAGCACCTAGAAATACCACTAGCCACCAACGGAAAGGTAGTGGAATGATCTTTTCTCTCGAGTTGTTTAGCTAAGGGACTAAAATAAAGGAAAGCATGTAACTCTCAAAATTAGGCTATACAAGCATTCTTTTAAAATATCTGCAGCAAACCTCAGTCAGTTACGGAGACACTATATTTTACCTTGTCCACATCCATATGGCTGCAAAGAGCTGCGCCAGCTGTTGGACCAAAGCCAGACACCACATTCAGAACACCTGATGGAAGCCCAGCCTGTAAAAGAGGCAATGAAAAAATGAGATAACAAACTTAAATTCTGTTCCGTATCACAGGATTGGAAAAGTAAAGCAACATTACTTGAAATGAACAGTTGTTCATTCACTAACGAAGTTCTGGGTTTGACAGTTACCTCATGCAACAGCTTTGTCACATATAGAGCAGATAATGGTGTCTGCTCTGCTGTCTTAAGCACAACGGTGTTGCCACATGCTAATGCAGGCCCAACCTTCCAAGCATACATTAGGAGAGGGAAGTTCCACGGAATAATTTGTCCAGCAACACCAATGGGTTCGTGCAGAGTTTGAACATGATAAGGTCCATCAGCAGGAACGGTCATCCCATGAATCTTGTCGGCCCAACCTGAAGAGCAGATAGATTAAAAATCATGCGATGCCACATAGAGCAGTCACATAGAACAACAAAATTGGCAGAGAGCCCAATGTACCTACCAGCATAATATCGCATGAGGCGCACAAACATAGGAACTTCAATTTTAGCTGCTTGTTCATATGGCTTGCCATTATCCCAAGTCTCTAGTGCTGCAATTTCGTCGTTATGCTTCTCAACTAAATCAGCGAAGCGTAGCAATATTCTTTGCCGGTCCTGCACCACGAGCAATAAACATAATCAAAATAGTTCTCCATTGAAATCATTCAAGAACGAGGAAGACAATTGATTACATAAGCAGTCAGCCTGGGCCAGGGTCCTTCATCAAAAGCCTTGCGAGCAGCAGCCACAGCTCTGTTGACATCTTCTGCATCACCTTCAGCAACATGCGCAATCACTTCCCCTGTTCTAGGGTCCAGAGTTGGAAATGTCTTCCCTGGTAGTGAGAAGAAAGCAAAAACTAAAAATATAGTAAAAGGCGATGGAAGAGGAGTACACATAATGGCAAGCATTGCGACAAAAATCACACCTGAGGCTGCATCAACAAATTGACCATTAATGAGAAGCTTAGTGTATTCCACATTAACCGGTGGCTTAATTGGCTCCTCGAGAGCAGCAGCAGTGCTATACCGAGAAATTGCTCTTGCTTGGCAAGCACTTTTTCCTGAGCAAAATAGTCAACGACTTAGTTTAACAGATGAATCAGGCAACAGCTACTCACAATGGCATATTAGAATCTAAGTATCACATTATCACAATCTAGCTTGAGAGAACAGAGTAAACAGTACAAAGGCATTAAGCTTATAATCAAGTGTCAAGAAAAGACCTTGACAAAAATCGACATCATATTTGGCAGAAAATTGTAAATCCATCATCGTGTGTTAAGTGTCGCTTTTGTGCATCTGACATCATCTAATTTTTTGCCGGTAAATTTCATGACAAGAAAACCAGATCAGGTTGCATATTACAGGAAGGCAATCAGAAAGTTCCTGTTTTACGTAGTCATCAAAGTGAATATAGACTGAACCCCATGAATGAATGCAGGAAATATATCTTCCAAGTAAATTATTTCACATTTCAAAAGCAGTCCAAATAAGAACTCTACTAAAAATTTACAAATTGCTCTGCTGCATCATTCTTCAGTCATTCACTATTTGCCTTTCTAGCTTCTCATCTTTGACCAAGAATTTCAACAGTGCACTACAGTACAGAGTCACAATGAACCTGTCTATCCCAACATAGATCGGTTTCATCATATACATGATTAAAGAAGATAAAAAAGATCTAAAAACAAAACATATGTGATGGATAAACAAATTACTAGAAAAGAACGGAAAGTGATGAAAACAGAGATAGACGGGCGATCACCGATCAGTCAGATGAAACGACAAAAATCATCCACTTCACTTTAACGTCTCCCAACACAACTTCACGTGAATACTTACACGTTTCATCCAAATACTGTCGAGGATCGTATATACAATGCTATACATGCGTGAACATACATAGACAGGTGTATGAATGAATACCTCCGGTTAGCCGGGAAGCAAGAGAAGATGTAAAAGAACGAGAGAGCAGAAGCGATGAGACCCTTTTAGCCGCCATTCTTCTCCTAGCCTTCAATCCAATAAACTCTGAGAAGTCAAGACTACTTATTCGTAGCTGCACCAACCTTTTTTTTAAAAAAAATTTCTTCCGGTTTTTGGTAAATTTCTTTTCTGGAGAAGAGTCGTATGAAGTTGGTACCTTTTTCTTTATCCGGGACAGTGGAAGGATGAATATAATAGATACAGGAGATATGAATGAGAGAGAAGGAATGATTAAAAAAATGTCAAATGGATCATGATTGGATTGTAATTTTCAAGAGTTTTTATAAAAATAATATTATAGTAATTTAATATACGTAACTTAAAAAGTTGATTAACAAATATTGGGCTCCGTTTCACAAGTGAGTTTTTTTGAGTGTCTGTCTAAAATTTTACTGTAATTTACCGTAAAAGTTGTAAAATTTTTTTTTTAAATGCATAAATTTTTGAAATTTATAATTTAAAATTTTTAAAATTTTTTTTGAGATTACTATAATTAAAATTATTAAAAAATTTATAGCAGATAAACTTTGACTAGAAACTTGCTTGTCAAATAAGACCATCATATTTATAAAAAATTGACATCCCAAGCAAGACGGAGCTAATAAATATATAATAGTAAACTCCGAGAATATGGAAATTGGTTGCACGCGATGGTGAAGAGCTGAATGGGATGACTTACCAAACATCATTTGGTTTGGTTGCAATGCTTTTGCTGACATGTAAGTATGAAAAGAAGCATGATTGATAATTAGTGGACTTTTCACTTTATTTCAATCCATCAATAAAGTAGATAAGATTGCAAGAATAGGGTGCCAGCATTATGATGAGCTCTTTCTTTGTTGTTGTTATTGGGTCAGAACCGTTGGAATAAATACAAGTAGTACGTAGTAAGCCTGGGGTGGATCAAAGCTTATCTTTGAATTTTGATGACTAATATAACTCTTGTCCTATTGTTCAAGTGGACGAAAACAGTTGAATGACTAAATGCTACTCCTGCACCGCATTGGATTACGAAGGATTTATTTTTTCTCCTGTTCTACGTCATGTTTGGTAAGTATATGGTAACTAGGATTTCAGTTTGCTGAACTCCAAAAGGAAGACGTAGATATTGGTCTTGTCTTGTTATCTCGTCATGTTGTAATCTTGGAACCCCTAATCTTACATCTTCCATAAGATCATTTCTCCAGTAATCATGGAATAATCCTTCTAACATGGGATGACACGTATTACTTGTCAAAAGTTGGGCAACATTATAAGCACCGTTTGGCCAAAACTTTCGTTGTTCATATTTGGCTTAAAGACAAAAACTCCCTTACCATTTGATCCAAAGTTGTGTGGTCTGTTCTCTATCGCTTATTTCTTCGTACTGTACCCTCTATTTCAGTCACACTCATCAGGTTGAATATTAAAACATTTGAATTGATGAAAATACCCTTCTAGTTTTTATTGTAACCAAATATCGAACTAGTGATTTTTTTAACAAATTAATTTTATATGTAATCCAATGTTTTTGCTGATCTTTGTTTTCTATTTTTTGGTACTAAATTAAAAAAAAAATGGCCCAAAATCACTACCAAATTATGATAATTCCACTACCCGAAAAATTCATAAACTCTAAATGAATTATTTCAACATTTTCTTTTCTATCTTATAAATCTAAATCCATAATAAAAAAGTACCATCAAAAGTATCCTATCATAGTGATAAAATTATTATTATAGTTGTTTATCAAATAGTAGGTATGAACATGAAAAATTTGGCACCTTTTTTTTTATAATGATATTAGATAATCTTATAATTGTACAGGAAAATAAATTAAAACTCATTACACAAGGATATTTTTGGGTATTCATTAAAAATAATTGACCAAATCAATATTATTTTAAAATTTTGTTACCAAAACTATCAAATCAAGGGAGGTAAGTATAATTTTTCAAACTTCAGAGGAGCTCAGTGAAATTATCAGAAACCTCAGGGTAGGCTTCTAAAGTTATCCCAGATTCTTTTGATGTTCAAATTACAAGATTTGATTTTTTACAATAAAATATTTTTTATTGAATTTTAATTGGAAGACTTAGGTTGTGTTTGGATTGCATTTTTTGTCATTTTTCATGGAAAAATTACTGCAGCGATTTGATATATGTGAGGGAAAAAAGTGATAGGGAAATGTGATCACGGAAAACGATAATATTTTCCGACAGAAACAAGCAATCCAAACATAGCAAAATTCTCTGTCCAAAATCACCATGCACGTAATTATTTTAAGGAGTAAACTGCAACTCTGCCAAATCATAAAGGGAGTTTTTGTCATTAACACAGGTGGATCAAATTAGCCACTTCTTTAAGAAGATTGCCCCGATGATTTTGTAATTTAAATAAATTTTCTTTTGAGTTCTCAACCCAAAAGAAAAAAAAAAGGGTTGTCTTGCCAGCCGTGCAAACTATGCCTCGTACTGGTAAAATAATCTTCTTCAGTCACAGACCTTTACACGGTGATAATTACCAAAATCTTCAAAACTCAAACACATAAATGGACACACTTAGTCAAATAAATGATTAAGTGCAACAACATAATCCTACAATGTGATCAGCATCCCGAGAAGGTTACATCAGGTAAAAAGTATGTACATTCAACCAATACTAGGAACCTCTCGTATTCACGAGGTGGTGCCTACATAAAACCTCTTACTCCCAAGAAAATCACCATCCATCGTCTGAATCTCATGAAAGTAAAGGAAAATTGAATATTGAAACCACTGCTGCGTGCCTCCAAATGCTTCATTCATGTCCGCTTTATCTTTGAAAATGTACCAGTTTCCGAGAAATAGGTGCTTTGAGTTCCACTTCCAAGCTGATTTGCAAGTGCTTGAGGATTGCTAAGCTCAATCCCCTATGAAACATAAAAAGCAAGATCTTCAACAAAAGGTGAAGGAGCATTGGGCCTCTAAGGAGGAGAAAGAGAACAAAGATCGACTTAAAGCAACAATACTAGACAAGTATCGACTTAAAGCAACAATACTAGGCATGTATTTATTACATATGCGAGGACAAAAAAATTGTTCCAGCCACCCAAAAGAAAAAAGGGGAAAAAAACAACAACCATTTTGTTTCGAACCCATAGGCAAAAACAAAATCATATCACATCCCCAAAACAGACAGATTGGCTACTTCATCCACTTAAATAGTTAAACAGATGACTTAGTTTGAGAAGTTTATGTAACTTCACTGTATCTTCTAAGTTCTATCATGCATAACGGAATCTTTGCATCATAGTTCGACACCAACTCATAGCACAAGGCCACTAACAGTCCAACACACCTCACAGTTCAGTTTCTACATGAAGCAGCTTATGCTTAAAAGGTCTAAATAGAGAACTATAAACTGCAACTGATAAAAGAACTCTCTTAAAGGATTCTTACCAAAGTCTATATGGACAAAAGGACAACCATTTAAAAGAAGAATCATATTCTTCTGACTTCAAGTTTCTCGATTTGTTCAATCTTATGCCTTTGCTCAGATGAGAAACTGATAAATAATGGGAGTAGAAAAGATAACACTACCCTCAAGACCTAAGAAAGTACCTAAGCCATCTGGTTGCTTGATTCATGCTGATTACTTTACAAATAGTGAGGCTCAAGAGTTACTAGGAGATTAAATAGTCAGTAATGCATCAAACCTGCACAGGTGTGAAGGCTAAACTGGAGGTAAGTCCTGAGGTAGCACCACTGCTTCCATACTGCTTTTCCTTGAACCTAGAAACATATGAAGACTATAAGGCCGAAAACTACACGTAGAAATCAGAATGATCGCCAAATCAGCAGAAAATAATTTTTTAAGGAGGGAAAAAAGGCTGCAACTTAGATCCACTAGGAGGAATCAGAAACAGATGAAGAGGCAAGAAGAGACGTACTTCTTAGCTACTTTTGCAGAAAGCTTGCTAGGACCAGCTGATGATACACGCAATTTTCCACTACCAGCTTGACCAAGCATTCCATACCCTTCGCCAAGCCCATCACCTATTCCCATGGACAATATAAACAGTGAGAAGGACTCCATCCCATGACAGAATAGTCATAGCACAAAAATTATACATGCATGGAACTTCTGAACATAAGTAGCAACACAGATTTGCTTTTATATGTCTTTCAAAATAAGGTAATAGATGGAACAGCCAGACATATTAGACACGCAAATAGCAGCACATATTTGCATAAGCACGTTTTTACCACTAAGGGGAAACAGTTTGATGTCATAATCTCAAAGCTTCACTGCTTTCCCAACAGGCAAAGCATAACCATTATGACCTTGTTCTAAGTTACCACTTACGAACATTGATTCCTCTCCTCTTTTTCAAGATTCCAAGCATGAAATCAGAAGTATAATCTATTTGCTTGTAACATAAACTACCATGATTGGCAGCAAGCACTTGCATTACTTTATGTCTAAAACTGAACATTCAGCTTCGAGCAATTTACAATAGCAACTCTATAAAGTAGATAGATGACTCGAATCGCATTCATCGATGAATTTTAGGTGGATGATGATCATTACCCAAAGAGCTCTCTTCAGGAACTCCAAAAGCCATCCTATTTGCCAGCTTCCTCATGTCTGTCAAAGCATATCTGAATCAAAGTAAAGGAATACATTAACTCTGAAACTTTCAAACTGAAGAAAGCTAACTTTAATTAATCCGTAGAGAAAGAAAAAAATCTGCAATACCTCTCTTTCGTCTTCCGCAGCCTTCGACCACCTCTCTTTTTCTTGGGCTCAGAATCAGGAACAGGCAGAGGTTTAGGCTGCTTTGCAGGAGGGGGTTCTTGCCATTTCTCTATCTTTTTGAGAATTTCATCACGTAAAGATCTTCCCACTTTCCCAGTTGAATCACCTTTTATAGAGTCTATACGTGCTGCCAAGGTAGACTTTGCAGCCAAGAGTCGACAGGCACGTTTTCTCAAGGTAGGTGGCGTACTCTGAAATATTTCACTTTGCTCAAGATAACCAACATGGATTTGGGAATTTGCCGTTGAAAACCCTGCTAAGGTCTTCCTCTTGGCACCAAGAAGCTGTACATTGCAAGCAGGCATCTTTGCCAGTGCAGAAAGACCACCAGCCGTTCCCATGAGTTTTGCAGCAACTGCAGTTCCAACAATAGCCGAAACATTAGGAGCAATATACCCCATCCGACTCTCCA